GGCTGCTGAAGATGGGAACAGGTCCTTAAAGCAGTTATGGCTCATGCTGACAGTCTGTTCACTGACAGTCACAATGGGAAGGAAAGCTGAAGAGAGCCAAGTCAGATCTGGAAGGACAAGTCAAGGTGGGGCAGATGGAGACGAGGACTGGGGCTGGATACTAACTCCTCGACAGACACAATTTAATCCTTGGGGCATCTTAACTGACTTCTATGTGCAAAATACAGCATCTCTCAAAGAATGCCAACCTATCTAAAAACACTCAATTTGCGTTTACACTGCAGTCAGGGTTAAAATGCCATCTAATTCTGTCCAATGAGTTCAGATTAAGAACGTGTTTTCAAAACCACAGTGTGGATTAAGATGACTTCTACTGCAGATTCCAGGTTTTCTGATAATTGACAGATATTCACAACTTCTGTTCTTAGGGGAAACAGACTTAAATGTCAGTTCAAAATGATAAATTCCTAAGAGAAACAAAAAAGGATTACCTGACATAGTACTGTATATTTTTTATAATTGAAAGAGACCCAAGAGGTCATCTACATATCGCCTTTCTTCCTAACACAGGAATTTCCCCTGCCACCGCTTCTCTCCACCCACAGACGGTCACTAGGCTGTCAATGAAAAAGGTTCCCTACCTCACCAGGGTTATCAGAGTTCTTCTCTGAACGGAATGGGGGACTTCAGTTTCTGGTACCCTGACAAGCCCTTTCACTGAAACAAGAAAACGGATAATACAAAATACTTAACAAAATCTTTAGAAACTCTCTGATCTACCAAGAAAGTAAGAAATCCTGCAAGGCCAAAGAATAAGTGAAAGTGGGAATGCAGGAAGGAAGGTGGACTGCTTAAGTTGGCTTTTTCCCCTGAGGGTATTTGCCAAAACCAGGTGATCTCAAGCTCTGATCTTACAATTTCAACAATCACCCCACAGAAACCTTGGCAAAGGTGTAAGAGGAAAAAAACTGCACTGAGATTTTCTAACAACAAGCCCGTTCTCTGCACCTCCCCTTGCTAACCTTTACTCAGGCCCTACTGTGTGCTGCACACCGCAGAAGGCACTGGGAAAGTGGAAAAAGAAAGAGACCTTGCCTCCGGACAGTCACAGTCTAGTCAGGTAAACAGACTCATTCATAAATAAAGGTGTTTTATCCTTCCCCTTCTCCCCAGTGCCTAAACTGTGCTATGGAGGAAGAGGGGTGACAGCTCTTTTTTCTTCTTCTCTCCCTCCCTTTCTTCCTTCCTTCAACAAATGTTCATGAAAACCCCAATATGTCAGGCACTGGGAATAAACACTATCCCAGCCCTCATGTTGAGCAGGCATTCCAGTTCTGGAATAGGCAAACAGACAAAACAGTGCATCGTTGTTAAGTGCTGTGAAGGAACAACAAGGAGCTGGTCTCCACGGTGTCAGAGAAGAGCCTGTTTTAGGAACGGCAGTCACCCTTAACGCTGACTGGATAAGTCTCCAGTCTTCCAGTCACTCATCCAGCCACTACTGAATATTCGTTCCGCATTAGGCAATAGAGATACAGAGATGAAAGATAAAATCTTGGTCCTCCAGAGAGTTACAGCTTTAAGATGTAATCTGTGTAGCACCTGTGATATTATGTGAAGAAATGGAATCTAGAAAGCAGCAGCACAAAATTCCACTCCCACACCCTCACCCCTCCCGTTCCTGACCTGGGCTTTTTACGTGTGGCCACAAGCAAGAGGCTCCCAAGGGGGCAACCCCTCCCCTGAACTAGA